GGCTTTAAAAAGAACTAGGGAGAAGGTAGTTTTGTGACATATCAAGGACATCTCGATAATTGCCGCCTGCGGCGGACATTGGCTGTTCTATAATAGTTCTATTCATGTGTGAACAGAACATCGCAGTGGAGGTTCAATGTCTCGAAATCTCGTACTTTTAACATCTCTGAGATGTTTTTGTGCTCGCTGGGCCTTCTTCCTTTCTGACATTGGCGTTGAAGTTGGTTGCAATTTGTATCTCTCTTGTTGTTGACTGAACAGGTCAATATCTCGTTTTCTGCTATGGTATTCTTCAATGAGTATATCCAAGAATATTTCATCTTCATCAAGATAAAGCTTTGCATGCGAGTGCTCTAATATCAGCCTGACTGTCTGATTGAATCTAATGATTCCTATAGGTTCCGGGATAATTTAGTTCGTTGTACCAGTATATCACCTGACGAAGCACTGTGTTAGCGAAACATGTTGTGTGTTCAAGAATTTTGTGGAAATCTTATAGTCTATAATAATAATAAATCAGAGGTCCAAGACCAAGTTGCCGGGGTAGCAACAAGTGGGATTTCTCCCCCCTCTCACAAGACTCCCATAGGGGATGACTGCCGGCCTGTATATCTTTCTCGACTTTACCGACGCAGTCACCCCAGAGAGAAATGGAGGATTTGGATAAATCTTATAGTCTGTGAAGTTTTCAAATTTGCCATGGATATCCATCAAGTAACGGTCAAGTCAATTCAAAAAACAAATGTACCAACTTCTAAAACTCGCCGTCCACGATATGGTCTATAGCTACTAATCCCTACTTCATCTAGAGGGTGCTGAAAATTAGAACAAACAAATCATGGTTGAAGCAATAAATAAACACAATCCCATTGTTTGTATAGGCTTCCTATTCAGATAAAGCGCATATGAACTTATTTTATTTCTCAATGTTGATACTGAACCATGAAAAGAAAATCTTCAATTCAATAAATGAAAGATAACATTCGCTTGTAGATACATATACACTCACAAAAGAAACAAATGGAAGTGAACGAATGAAAAATGACTATAATGCCTATGGGTCGGCAGATCGGCTGTTTTATATATGATTTTATTGATGATGATCCAGATGATGTGGGGCGGATATAATTGATTCCGTAAGATTGATGTTCGCTAATGATTCTTAAGAAATCGAAGAATTATGTTGAATTGAGTGGTGAATAGATGAACAATTATACAGATAATCGAGATAAATATATCAAAACGAAGTTTCCAACAGGTGTTATATAGGTGTGAACGCAAAGTTGGCAAATATCAATGGAGGAAAAGTTGCCGGTATATGAGATTTTCAATGCATTTGAACTTTACAGATATGATCAACTCCTCTTGCTAACACAATCTTCGTACAGTTTTGCCGTTTCAGCGGTATCGTCTCTAAATCCACTGGATTTGCGATGTGCAAGAATTCTATAATTTTTCACACTTTTTAAGAGTTTTTTCAGGGTATATGCAATATTCTAGCGTTTCCCACATTGTTGAAGTGATTCTGTGAAGATATTTTGATCATGTGGATCTGTGCAAAAATGTCAATTACATAAAACCAAAATTGGATGATGAATATTTCAGGTATTAGTGGAATTGAGCCCGTGATAATTGAGAATGAAATAGCTGATTGCTTGCGAATTCTAGAATGATCACCAGGAATGGAATGTCACAAGTTTTGGAGTTGTAAGTATTTGTTAAATTTACTGCAGTAAATAATATTTCGTATGCGGTGGAACGTTCAACTCTTAAGTCAGACAACACATGCTTGTATATGTCAAATTGCAGCTAATTGACTTGTTTGAGGACATGCCGACCTAATGAATCAATTGGGAAACCTATAGACAGGCAGTTTTTTTTTCATACATTAATTCATGAGTATCAAAATTTCTTTGTGAATATTTTCTCAATGGAAAGTGAAGATGTTCGTTTTCGAAATATTCAATGAAAGCATATTGGAATCACACCACTCTTTGACTCTTGTAATATCATCAACAATAATTTGTTGCAATTCCGATACATCTTGTGTGCCACAGAATCGTCGTGTCATCTGCAAACTGTGTGAATTTTCCTCGACTATCAATAATTGCTTTATCATTTATATAGAACAGGAAGAGAACTGGGCCCAGCACTGACCCTTGAGGTACTCCACACTCAACTTCTAATTCTTCCGACACAATATTATTGATAGATACACTTTGAGTTCGTCCAGACAAATACGTCTAAACCCATATCTTTCCATTTTATTTCGCAGAATTTTGTGGTTAACGCAATCGAACGCCTTTGTCAGATCACAAAATACTGCTGCCGCAGCTTTTCTATCATTGAGTTTGAGATAGACATGTTGTAACAGATTGAACATTGCATCACTTGTACTTTTTCCACTCATTTGCCACATGATTCTGAAGTTCGCAGGATCATCAGTATCTCCGCCTTTGAATAATGAAACAACTATTGCACTTTTTAGGCATTGTGGAAACACTTCAGCTGCAAATGAAGCTTTTATAGCTTCCACCAGTAGTATCTCAAGAGCGTCTGGTAGTTGTTAGAATATTTTTATTAATAAATCATCCCATCCTGACGCATTTTTATTTTGATCGTTACTACTATTATGGGTACTTTTGTATCCACCTCCTTAGGAAAAATATGATTTCTATATAAATATACTAGGTGAAGTGTTATGTTGGTGTTGCTCATCTACTCAAAACTATTATTGATCAATTGATGTATCAAGAAAGTATTTTTATGATATATAAAATGTAAGTAGCTTGAATATGAGGAATATTATTGATGATCTGAAATGCCTCCATCGGAATTCCGAACCGTCAATAAAGATGCATATACCGATCGATAATATCCTTCATCTTTTCAGAATATATATCGAAAACATTCACTGCGGTCAGTTGATTATATCGTACACATTTATTAAAAGCCGACAAACGCAAGTATGATGTCTTCTTTTTCTCGGGCAACCTATTTTATTATAATTATGGATATATGTAAATTATATCGAGACTATCTCTTCTGTTATCACCTGGACAGATAAAATATTTCAATTTCATCTGGAGTCATTGCGTTCGCTCGTATTTTTGAACCACTTTTATTGGACAATCAATGACATAACTGGACGTTTTTTCAAAAATTTTCGCACATATATCATTAATTTGGATTAGGAACCGTTATCGCCTTAGTATAGAATCAGTGAATATAATGTCAAAAACTATTGGAAACACATTATTTGATCCATTGGCTACATATTGGTAAGTAAGTATTCTGGCAAATTTTGGCTAGGCAAATTTTTCCGTTTTATAATATATACAGGGTGGGTCATAACTATCGAGATAAAGGCTGAGGGCGGATTGTTTGCACCAATAAAATATGGCGATAAAATATTGCTCTGAGAAAAGATATAGGGCGTTGAAGTTGATTTTCTTCCATTTTTTGCAAATAATGTCACTGTATATGTATCGATTGATGGCACAAAGAAAAGACATAACTTCATAGAGGGAATTTTATTTCATGTATTATTCTACAGTTTGTTACCAGGGGTCATCATGTGAACGTGAACGATTCCTGATGATGATATCAACTGGTAACTCTGTTTGACGAAACTTTTTAGTGATTTTGATAAAAAAATATGACATGAACATCATTTCGACGTAATATTGGTACTTCTGTTCAAACACGATATTTTCCTTCGTTTTAGAGGAAAACGCAATTGAACAGTTCATAGTCTCTGAGGGGATTTCAAATATTATTTGATTTATGAAGAGTGTGCCTTGGACTGTCAGATAATTGTTGCTGGTATGCTGGTAGATGACATTTCTTGTCAGTGACTAAATCTCGCTGTGAGTTTATAGAGACTTGTTTTTTGATTGAAACCTGTATTATATTCCACAGCAATATTTTATTGAGACGTATTTGTGTTATCGCCATATTACTGTTGACTAAAATCAACTCAGAAATAGAGATTCAACTAAACTTGCTCTAAATAAATACAAAAAGCCTAATGTCATAACCACACAGTCTGTCGACCACGAAAAAATATTTAATAATAGTAGTGTAACTAGTTTCGGCCATAGGCCATCATCAGACACAAAATTGATGTATTAAAGTAACTAAAAGATATAAAGAACATGATTAAGGAGTCAAAAAAAGAGTCAAAAAATTTGGTATACTAACCTCAGTCATACATATCAGAATCAAAATTTTTTTTATAACATTATCAAAAGCCAAGGTCGAAAAAACAAATTATCGGTCCTGAAAGTGAATAGTCCAGTAGAACCAGATCAACATAATATTAATGGAGAGGTACCCACATCAGGATTCGAAAAGTTTCGAAAAATTCTCTCGCGTGAGATTCATCAGATTATGCAAAATGCAAATGGAGCTAAGACAGATTTCTAAAAATCAGAAATATCAAAATCACATGAAACGTGAACCATGACAAAGAGCAAGAGACACAAGTCAATGTCAATAACACATGACATACAAATAAAATCAATATAAATGATGACCAGAATCATGACAATGACAAGTGACACCAGTCAAAAGTCAAATATGACAAAACTGATCAACATTGACAAACCAAATAAATTTCGAAACAATGGGAACAAGAGATTGGGAGGAGAACAAATTGATTTTGTTTGGCTAGGCTACGCTTAGTCGGCGGTTTTATAGGACTGCTGGCTGGAGACTTCCCTGCACTGATGGGAGTCAAGGAGCTCGAAACTAGTCTGTAGGTGTCTAGCTTGGCCTGGGTAAATCGAAATCAATAGGCATTCTGGCGATTCACTTGTATCAGTATTCGTTTATACGAGTCGATGCATAGATTTCAGGAGGATGTAATTTAATGTTCTGCGTGGCAAAGTAGTTGTCTACCATTGTTGTTCATTTTATGAACATTGTGGCAATTTCGTAGTTTATACTTACTCTATTCAGAATCGGAATTGGGTTTGTGATAAAACAGAATAGTATATGGTACACGATTTTTTATTTATATACAATTTTTACATATGACATAGTACGTATTACAAAAAATATATTCATCTATATAAATAGAAAAATTTTCGATAACAATAATATAAATTAGACTTAACTTAAATCACTCACAACTTTTGTAAAAATTTTGTAAAATTTGTTCAGCCCTTGCGCGTCCCGTTCGGTTTGCCTATAACAAAAAAAAGAAATTGAAAAATTTTATCAATATGCCAATATACAATCATTATTTCATCAAAAACCATATGCTTGATCAAAGTTTTTGAAAAAATGAGACTTGTGTACAGCTACAATATATATATACATCCTCTATATCATACATACAAATTGTATAAAATAAAAAATGATGCCTCTAGAATAATTGAGGAGGTATGCGATATCAATTTGTTCAGAATCTCAGGATTTGTTTCCAAAAATAAAAATATCAATATGATTTCAATAACAATATACTTGTAGCGAGGACACTTTTCCTCGAAATGTCATTGCGGTCTAAATTTCACTAGTGAAAACCAAAGAGAGAATCTTAATCGATAGTCAGTAACACTTTATTTTGACAAATTTGAGGTATTTTGAAAAATTCAAAAATTAAATCATCTTTTCACACATTCTTCTGGCAATTTCTTTTTGGTGAAACTTTTTAGTTATTTTGATGATGTCTTTATTCTTGGTGTTCCAGCACTCCATACAAGTATATTGAAATTATGATGATATTTTTATTCATAGAGACATGGAAAAAAATCCCAAACGTCTAGAAAATTGCATAAATGATATCGATCCAGCTATACTGGTCTTCATTATCAGACAAACCAATCATTTTATTATCAGACCTTCAATTAGAAGGTATGAAAATGTAAGCTCTAACTTGTGGCTCTATTCTAAACATATATTTTCAAAAAGCGTAGCGTTTATAAAATGACTATATAGAGCGCCTGTGAGTGATTACAACGAATACAAATCAAAATCTACCTTTTTCTGCAAACGTCAAATAATAACAAGGTTCGCGCATTGATAACAATTTGCGAAGTGACACTTTTTTTAGTTTCTTACGTTACCATGATACCTTGCACAAAACAATGCGCGAAGTAAAACAGTTATGTAAAATATATGAGATATTTATATTTCTACTTCATGGTCCTCAATCGAGCAAACATCCACGAAATCATTCATTTCTGAATGTTCAACAATAACTTTGTTTTATCTCTTGAAGCGCACGAAAAGAAATTCCTATTATGTTCGTATAGAACATCGTGCGTACCTAGGGAAGAATGGGGGGGGGGGGCTTTTCATCCAGTTCAACACTATTTATTATATCAAGCTAAGCATATTCTCACTTCAGGACTATATTTTTTGACGTTGTAGAAATTTTTTTTTTTTGAAATTCGAGCGCGAAATACTTTGATCATCTCGACTATTTTTTTAACTCGGCTACGCCTCGTTAAAAAAATCAGATCTCGATCACCAAAGTAACATTTCACGCTCTAGATATAAGAATAACTATTATGAAAAGAAAAATGAGTAGAGAACAGTAAAATGAGGGCTTGAAATATTAGCTCATATTATTATGGTATTGGGTGTGTGACAAATATATCAAATACTTTTCGACACTTCTTCAGTCGCTAGAACTGAAGACAATCATTAATAATGCAATTATTGTGTTCATATAATTTGTTTAACATTGTTGTTGACTTCATTTCATGTATGGATTATTATTTTGTAAGCAATCTTATTTTGGTAAAGTTTGTACTTCGTAGTGTGAATCTGTAGTTCGTATAGTGTGAATAACGTTCTATCAATATTTATTTTATCCGTTGCATTTCTTGACCTATAACTCTTTCATTTTATTTGATTGCAAATTGTCATTATGAACTTTTCAAATGTCCGAGCAGAATTATCGAGAAAATGCATTAGGTATTTCCTTTTTCATTTCATATCAGTGCTGAAGAAAAAATCTATTGAAACACCTTTGGGTACCCAGCAATCTATATTCTATGTCAGTTCTTCCTTCTCAATTATGTCTGGTATGTTCATATCTGATATCTCCAAAGATAAGGCAGACGTATTATAATTTTTTCAATCTTAGACGGCCAGTGAATAGCTATTAATTCCATATAGAAAATTGAACGGTAGCAAGGCGTAGGGCAATTTGTTCTGCAGCGTTGCCAATGTGACAAGTTCATGATGAAATTTACGTCAACAAATTCATACTTCTTTCTATAAACAAAATTTTGGAGATTTCACTCAATTGCATTCCAAGTAAGTGGACTAGGGGAGTTCTGCCTGAATACATACTTGGGTAAAATGACATAAGTGCCTTATTTTGAATTCGGTTCGTTGAACAGAACTAGAAACATGAGTGCCAGTATTCCTGTTGGTATGGTGTCTCTCTGATTTCCATGGTTTCACCATTGCGAAAGTTTTTCAGCATTGTTACTATCCAGTATATTAATAATTCAGATTAGATTTGATCACAATATTGTTGATCATTTTGATGCTATGTTGGTCTCTGATGTTAGGATGATCATTCGATTCGAACATGTATCCTACATTGCATTAGCCCATATAAGCCTAACACCTAATTTTGTATTTGGTCATAATTTCGTAAAACAGTCAATATGAAGAACATTTTTGGAATAGACATGATATCAAAACAATGGTATAAACAGATAACAAATTTCTCTGCTCTATATGAGACGAAGTGCTCAAGGTATGTCATTTTAGGCAGAGTCATGTTTCCAATGGTTCAGTGCGGGATTTCTCGCTAAAAGCAGCCTAATCTTCGTCCTTTCTAGAAATTACATCTTTGAATATCTAAAATCATGAAAATTCTATTATCGGTAGATTTGGGGATTCCTCCGCATACTTGGCAACGCCGCATCGGCAATTAATTGGCCTCCTGCAGAAAGGCGAACGGTAGCAGTGCAGGGCACGTCCCGGGGCAGATCTAGAAGGCCGTGATTATACGGCTCGCTATCGAACTACTGTCCGATTCTAATTATACCCTTCGGATAACGTCCAATCTAGAGTGCCTGTCGTATACCCGCTTCTTTTGTTTCACAGCATTTTGGCTACTCGAGGATTCTAATTTGGCTCGATGGCAAATTGTTCAGCGAAAGTTTGCAGCGGCGTCCAAAAAACTTCTACACGAAGTTAGAGATCTCCATGTTTCAAATCAATCTCCAAACATTTCGGTGTCAGAACAAAACTCCATAGCTGGGTAGCTGCATTTCTTTCTGACAGAGTTTTCAGAGTGAGAGTGGGTACCATTCACTCTAGTACTCATGAGGTTACGTCTGGAGTACCCCAGGGATCGGTCTTGAGTCCAACATTATTATTATGCATACGCATCAGACCTACATACAGCTCTAAGATCCAATCATGCATTTTCGCAGACGACAGCAAATTCTTCGGCAACCCACTATCCAGTTTTGATGAACTACAATCTGATCTGTTATCAGTACAAAACTGTTCGGCATATGGGACATTCCTCTGAATATCGACAAGTGCTCTATTCTACATGTTGGCTCCACTAACCCAGAACTAGACTATTACCTAGGTAATAAAATCATTCCTGCAGGGGAGAACCATAACAAGAAACTAGCTGTGTCCAATCAGGTTGCAACAGCTGTCTGTAAGGCAAACAGTCGTACGTACTTCCTCAAGAAATGCTTTGACCATCCTGAACCAAGACTGTTCAATCAGCTTCATGAAGCATATGTTCGTCCAACCTTGAATATGCTGTGCAGATATGGTCTCCTCATCTGGTGAAAGACATTCAACTTCTAGGAAGAGCCCAACGCAATGCAACAGGAATGGTTGAAAGTTTGAGGGATCTCTCCTATAAACAACGTCTATCGCGTCTAAGCCTCCGTTTGCTGAGTGACAGACGAGCCAGAAGAGACGCTATTCTGACGTATAGAATTCTGCATGATGACTTCTCTGTTGACCTATCCAACTTATTTCATCTAGAGAACGATGATAGATTGAGAGACCACACCATGAAGTTGAAGCAAGAACATTTTCGAACCACACTCAGACAATTTTTTTTATCAAATCGAGTATTTTCAAAGTGGAATGCATTACCTCGTGATGTTATGTCAGCTCCCTGTGGTAACAGTTTGAAAAACCGCTACGACTGGGTGCAATTGCAACAATTATAGCGATAACTAAATTAGGTATTAATAGTGTAACTGATTTTAAGTTCAAGTACCGATTGGGCAAAATAGTCTATGCCTCTGCCCTTGTTAAAATATAATAATAATAATGAAACAAATAATAAAAAGTCATTTTTTGTTCTCGTTATGTTGATTTGCTCACAATGCACGTAATATTCAGCAAATATTGCCACAATATCACAATATTAAAGTTGTATTTGCAACCTTCCAGAAATATTCCATTGCGATTTCAATATTCAGAAATGTTGCTGCAATGTCACAATTTATCTTTGATCTCTGGCATATTTTCACATGTCTCATCATAGAGACCTACAGTGATTCATTGATGTTTCTTGGATAAATCGTGTATTGGTTGTACCTTTTGAATGCAATCTCTGAGAAATGTTGAGCAATATTGAACAGTAAAAACATAAAGGCGTGAAGATACCAAATACTATTCAACATAACATTGAATAGATGTGAAAATTCCACAACCAAGTCTCAATATTGGCCACGTTTATACCGTGTGAATGTTTTGTATGAAAGGACTTAGTTGACGCATGTTTAAACCATGTATCTTCAGTTGACTAACCTCAACAACCTTTTTATGATTTGATTATTATTTTGAGGTTAGGTTGTGGAGCTAGACTTGATTGCTTAAATAATGAATAATACCTTTCAGCAAAATTCAAAATTAGCAAAAATTGACTGAAACCGAATAATATAATATTTTGAAGAATCAAAAAATCATAAGTGTTTACACCGTCTTGATCATCTTACTATTTTAGTCTGGTACGCATTAAATGTTGGTACCAAACCAAGCTGGTAACTTTACCAAGTGTATAGACGGTATAAACGTGTCAATTTTTTCCCATTGATGGGACGTTTTATCTTATCGTCAACGTATTAAAATTAGTATGTTTTAGAAGTGAGTAAGACTCAGATCAATGCTATGTGAAGTTGTGGAGTGAAGTGGTGGATTTTATAAATTTCAAACTCTAATACAGATATAGGCCTCATCAAGTTGAAATGTTAATGACCTTGACAAGTAGGACAGTACTTAGGAACATAGCAACCTGAAGATATGAGAAATGACATATGCAGATGATTCTGATCTGAATTTAAATTTTATAAACTTGGAGGGTTGTAATTTGATATTACTTGAGGTCTATTCATCTTCTATATCATTTAGTTACCCCTACGCCAATGGCCGCCATTGCCACTGGATTTAATACATTCCGAAATCTACTTTGCCTATCAATGCTGAGGGCATCTCGGAATTTTAATTTCAATCTCATAAATTATAAGGTGCGCGATCAAGTAGCCCGGGCATTCTTGACTTTTGGTTCCAACAGCCCCAAATTAAAGATAATAGAGAATACGTGGTTCGAATTAATAAGCGGGCAGAAGAGAAGAGAAGAAGACGACGGGTATTTCTTCAGGGTATGCGCATTTGAGACTAAATTCAATTTTGGAATATACTGGTGTTCCTCAAGGCACAGTTCGTGGCCTCGTATCGCTGCGAGAAGCTATAAAACATGAAATATCTCAACTGCATCATGACAACTGCCAAGATGTTCGACATTCTATGTATCAATAAGAAATATGTTCAAATGACAAAACAAGAACTCACTTTCTTATATTCCTAATTCAACTGGTCAGTACTGTTAGTAGATCCACTGACTCTGTTCCGAAATATAAAATCAAAAATACAGTGCTGTGATTCCTAACACGTTTTCATCAGTAATCAGCAGCAGTTTATCAGCTGGTGAAATTTGCCACTTGTCAGGTTGTCACTTCTGTAATTTCTCGTTCATCTGGCCAATTATTTAAATAACAGATATTTTCTGATTTGAAATGATATAATTGATGAGATAAAAGACTCAATGTTCGGGAAACAACGTAAATGAATGTGACATTACGTCTCCTCGAAAATAATGAACTGTCATTGAACACTGAAGCCACACTACCTGTTGATAGCAATTTCAGCAGAATGTCAAAATATTTTGAATGAATAGTATGTTTACTCACAAATATCTATCACTTTCAGTGATTTTTTTATTTCGGAGTCAAAAATCAGCAGATTCAGTACTGTCAGTTGAATTCTACATATCTGAGTCGACAACTATTCATTCATATGTCCACAAATTCTCACGGCAAGGCATTCCTGAATGACATCCCGACACAAATATCAACCTTAATGTCTTCAAATCCCCTCAGAACCCCCTTCAAGTCACTTGACAAATCCACTTTTACGCTCGATTATCCCCAGTCTCTGAACTAATCCTCAGATTGATATCCCATGTTAGATAAAGAAAGGGGTGAGTCAACTGGGCATGTGGTAGAATGCATAAAGTTTAAAGCAACTAGTATTGTTCAGTTAAATAATAATGTCACCAACTGTTGCAAATAGTGAGAACCAATTCTATTCAGCAGCATAAACTGCCAATTATGTAGTTTATTCAGACCAAGCATAAAATATATTCTAACCACCCAACCTGGGTACTTACCAGTGTGAAGGAACAGGTGATTCTTGAGGTTTGTGTGTTTGGAGAAACCCCTCGAACATATGTGGCATTTGAACGGCCACGAACCAGAGTGGACGTACATATGAGATCGAAGGTCACCAGGTGTTGGGAATGACTTACTGCAGAGGTTGCATTTGTGTGGCTTATCCTGAAACAAAAGCTAAGTTGAGTAGGTGTCCAAGAGATTAAAGAACATCGAACATTTCATTTTCTGCAGAGGTATTACCGACTTATAGGAAATGCCATTTCGAATAAAATCTATTGATCAATTCATTGAATGTGAAACTCATACACTGTAAGTAAGCACATCTTATCTTGTTTCTGATTCAAGTCGGCTTGAAACCAGTCAAACGAAAGTATCGTAAATTCACAGCTGCCGTTGCTACTACTCCTTACGTAACAGTCAATCAAACATCAGATAGAACGTGAATTACGAAGAGTACAACATGAAAAGAAGCAAGACACGCATTTAGCAGTGTTATTTAGCCGCTGTCTATCTCAAAAGAAACAGTCGATGGTGAATCAAGCCACTGGAGAGTATGTCCATTGACAAGAGTTACCAGCGGCGTAACATGAGGGGAAAATAATGCAACCACTAAGCTTATATTACGTTCAATGAATGGGGTCTAAATAAACTAGTGAATGATGTTGGGAAGATAGACACAGAGGACAATGGGATTGTTGCAACCAACCCAAATTAGTTCACTATCACAAGTCGTTTCCTCCTCAGAACACGTATTTTGAGAAATTCCACGATATCTCATCGAAATAAAACGCGGAAAAATGCAATACAATACAATACAACTTCAAACGGAATGATTACTTATGGATATTTATACACCTTTAATTTGGAGGTGAATGAACCATGATATCAACAGTAGTAGTAATACTATTCATAATAGAAAAGATCAATATAAAATTGTTATGGGACCTGAAATTGACCAGTGTGTACAATTCCATTGTTTTCCAAGTCAGGTTAGGTTAGTTGATTTCTTCTAGTAATAGTAGACTCTCAATTACTGTCAACTAGTCTATTGGTGATCTTCTTATCATGGACTACAGATGAAGCCTAGGAACTCTCCTAAAACTCTTCTCAGGTTCCTATATGTTGTTGTTTGTTGAACATCAGCGTCTTCAAGGCTCACCTTAAGAGAGGCTTTTGTTCAACTTCTTCACTTAAATGCAATTTCATCGAGTCGATTGTAGACTTTTGTAGTTGGGTCGTTCCAGCTACAGTAGCACCACGATCACTGCCAGCTGTAGGTACTCTCTGGGTATCTTATTGGGTGGTTGTTCCTTATACGAGTCAATTTTTTTTTACAATCTGCAGATATAACATGGGTGTCCCAATACTCAACGTCATCCTCCGAAGGGCTAAAGACTGGCCAGAATATCACAATATCACCATCGTAAAATATTGATAGTTCTGGAGATAGCAGCATTTTTATGACTTCTGCGAAAATCGAAGCAAGTAAAACACTTCAAAGTTTGAGATTTTAATTATTGTTATACAACCTGTTAGAACCTACTTTCAAAGGAGCGTTATTCTGGGACACCCTGCATGTATCTGTTTCACACTTGTAGTCGCTTTAGTGCACTGAAACCCAGTGATTTGGGAGAGCAGTGGGCTTCATCCATTGGACGCCAATGGAAAAAGCCACTTGGCACTTATCAGATGTGTTTTATCCCATAGGTCGTGAGATTCACTGATGCTGGCCCCGTTCTTATTGAATTGAAAATGTATACGTCAATCAGAAGTCTCAGAATGTTTCAGAATGTTTCAAGAGTAACGCCTGAGATGGTATCTACCGATTCTACCATTAAATTCATATTGTAATTAGCATGAAATCTGACTAATTGATTCGTTATTAGCTTTTGTATATATTACATGCGAGGTTGGAGGGTATATAATGCAGCCTACGCCAGATCTTATCGATTGAAATCCTCGGGAAACTGGACAGTGATCTGATTGCTGAATCCAAGGAATCGAGATTCGTCAATTGAATCTTGTATCAGCTGGAAATCCAATATGGTGGAGTATTACCTCAAGGCACCGTCTTGGGGCCACTAGATTGTTTCTTTGATATATTCTATTGGATCCCAGAATATCGTTTCTTTTCGAATTGATTGTGCACTAATATGTATTTGAATGTTGGATTGGTCCTTCTCGTTGGTAGAGTAGAGTAGAGTAAAGTAGTTTAGTACGGCGAGTCATAATTACAATAGCAATAGTGCTTAAAAATAAAAATGGAAATAACCTTTACCCTCGATCACTATAATGCAAAAATACATGATATGTAGAAGATGAAAAATCAAGTATCTGAATGAAATAACAAGAACCAAATAAGGAACAAAATAAGTACAATTGAAGAAATTATATATGATATATTAGGTAAGCAAAATGAAGTTGAAGGGAACACAGTTGAAATTGAATTTGAAAATATAACAATTACATTGACCTGTTGATGGAATAAAAAATGATAGGTTGAAGCGTCAGTGAGCTTGCTGACTCCATGAAGCTTAGAAGAATAGGTCCACACTAGGACCACAAAGGTCTTCTATACTGAATGAAGTATGCAAATCATAGCACTCTTCTCAATTTGATGGGATCATTTCAAAAGGATGATATAACCAGTATGCACAATATTCTGGATGATGAATATATATAGTGCTGAGTTTCGTATTTGTTTGATCAAGCCATCACTGGTTCACTTTAATGCTCTATCATTATATCTCTATGTTTGACAGTGATTTCAAATAAAAAATCGATGGCAATCACAATTAGCCTTATCGCTCCAATGAATCCATTATACATATAAGGAATGGAATAAAAATGTTTTAATGCGTACCAGAGATTACGCTACATAATGACCATCCGGCATCGTATATGCTGGATCATTATCACCAAATATATCCATAATAATAAGATATGTGAGGTATATTCACATTGGCTTTCATGAAAATAATTATAATAATGATCTATGTTCCCTATAACAATCTGATAACAGTAGAGTTCATAATGAGTGGAATGGACTGGTTCATAAATATCAACCAGTTCTTCTTCCTGACAAACACGAAACCTTTTTTCGATTGCTCTGCTACTGTATCTATGTTGTACATTCAACATCACCAGGTATTCTTACTCGACACCATAAAGGTACCTATGTGATTATGTTTTACTGTAGTTGAACCATTTTATTCAAATATTTACCTAAATTATCTAGCCCTTCGTCCAGCAGACACTGAACATCGTCGGGAACATACAAAAAAGACAAAAAATCTATCCGATATCCAGTAGGTAGCAATACTTTTGGTAAAAAGACAAGTGACTGCTGATATAGCTGAATTCTTGGAGCTACCAAATTGGAAGCTTTCTACCGGCACTTCAGTTGTTACATGTATAGAAAGCGAAAACAATACCTTTATTGATGAAATTTCAGGAGAAATTGATATATCTGATAGTTCACAGTTTGATCAATGATGATAATAAAAATAAGGAATATGAGAAATTGATAATTATTGTAGTATTTTTCTTTTCCCTCAATGCATGTCCCCAATGGAAGAGATCTATTTTTTTATTTTGTACCATAGCATTGAGATGACATTTTCAATAAAGGCATCTGATGGTGTTGACAGGCGACCTTCTAAGACTATTTGTAGAAAAAATATCTTATACAGGGTGTTTCAAAAAACCTGACCCGCTTACTAGGGTAGGTAGAACACTGTAAAATAAGTTGAGATCAATCAGTAGAAAAATTTCGTAACGGCACCCGTTATTAAGATACAAGGTGTTGAAAAAATGATTTTCTTACACATTTTTCTAGATAATGTCGAAACTTCTGGCGACATTATGATGAAATTTTGTATGGATATTTCTTGGAATCTGACACATCGCATGCATTTGTTTTTATACCTGACTCTCATAGAGGGCGCTACTTACACGGTTCGTACCGAGTAGTTTTGAACATAACTTTTTAGAGGTTAGATTTATCAATCCGAATTCGATGTGAACTCGAACATCAGTCAATTTCAAACCAAAAAGGTACTCTCGGTAAAACTCGATTATGTGTTCCGTTTTCGGAATATTCCGATTTGACAATGTAGATGTGATAACTGTTGCTGGTATAAAGCTATGTATCAGAGTGAATATTATCAAAAATAATCACCTATTTATTAAAAACCGAGAACAACAATACATTTCTGATGCCTAACTTATTGATTTAACATTGAATCACAAGAATAACATCGAAACAGATTTGACTAAGAACATGGATTACACAGTTTTGTTGTATCTTGAGCAGAAAGTCTATGCTACATAGGTAAATTCACGTCAAGAGTTGTAAGACATAATTGAACATCACTTAAATGACCTGACAGCTGATCCTCAACTGTTCAGAAGAATAATACATTCTTAAGAAAAGAATGAAGAATCGTGAATTCGTCGAAACGTAGGACATTTTGAACACTTACTCTAACTGATTCAATATTTCATGTTTCAAGTCAAATATCTCTTAATTTTCAACTCATGATTCTTTGTTCCATCAAAAACTTCAGCACAAAAATAATTTCATTGTTTTTGAATCTGGATAAATAGGTAAATGAACTCAATAAAATTAATTTTATACGAGCATCATTACTACTCCATTATTTTCAAATCGAAATATTCCGAAAACGGAATTTATTATCGAGTTTCACCAAGAGTACCTTTATGATGTGAAATTGAATGATGATCGAGTTCATATCATATTTGGATTGAAAAATCTAACCTCAAAAAAGTTATGTTCTAAACTACTCGGTACAAACCGGTAACTAGCGCCCTCTATGAGAGTCAGGTGAAAAAACAAGCTCATGCGATGTGCCAGATTTCAAGAAACATCAATACAAAATTGCATCACAATGTTGCCAGTAGTTTCGACATAATCGTGAAAATGTGTAAAAAAATAATTTTTTCATCGCCTTGTATCATGAAAACGGATGCCGTTACGACATTTTTCCACTGAGCAAACCCAACATATTTTGCAGTGTTCTACCTACCCTAGCAAGGGGGTCAGCTTTTCTTGAAACACGCTGTACATGATTGGGGAGTAATGAATAAATATCAAATAATGATAAAAATTCCGGTTGCTACAAATTGAAACTGCTAATGAT